AAAAAAAAAAAAAAAAAGGGAGGCTTGAGAGAAAGCCTGCAAATTCTAATCAGGGAGATTCTGAAATAGTCTACAAACTCCTTTCACAGCCACTCCTTCCGAGCAAATCTCACCAATTGGCGTACACCCTCTTCCTGACCGTAGATGTGATGTCAACCAAGAATCACTGGCCCAGCTGGCATGGCTCAGTGGTTGAGCATCAACCTATGACCTAGGTGATCATGGTTCAATTCCTGGTCAGGGCACATGCCCAGGTTGCAGCCTCAATCCCCAGTGGGGGGTGTGCAGCAGGCAGCTGATCAATGACTCATCACTGATGTTTCTCTCTCTCTCTCTGCCTCTCCCTCTCCCTTCCTCTCTCTGAAATCAATAAAGATTTTTTTAAAAACCACTGGGTTGCATTTTTCTGAAATGGAGACTCCAACTGAACAATCTTCACACACCACACCACCATAAATATGGGCCCTGAAGCGTTCCCTGATAGACAGCAAATGGCAGCCCCACTGTGGCCAAGAAAATCCCTAGGAAGCTGATGACTCCCGTCAGAGCAAACAAAGACAACACATCCCATGGAATCACACACCAACTTGTCCTCTATGTGACCTTCCCTTCCTGGCCAACGCATCGGCCACTACAGGGTCTTCACTTCAATGCTTGGAACATAGCACAGTCCATGGTGGCCACCATGCTTGGTGAGAATGTTACAAATAGGAGCTTCTAACTGCAGCACCACAGCCTAATCATCTGCAATGGGCTGCCAACACCTTGGGGAACTCAAAATTCTTCACCAAGTCAAAAGGCAAAAAAAGGTATCACTACCTGAAAGGCCTGGAGCTCTGATCAGAAGCCATGAGATCTTTGTTCTTTGGCGCCAAAGCCAGACCATCTGAAGGTAATTCTGAAGCTGAAACCTAGCCAACCCAGATCCACCCATGAGATCCACCTGTGAGACTAGGCCTAGGCAAAAACCACAGTCTACCACTCCTAGGTCAAAATGCTAGAGTGCCACCACTATAGCAATGACTGGGCATCCAAACAGGAGCCTTTGATTCATGGACACCCAATGATGGCAGCAAAGCCACTGAGCCTCACAAGAATGTGCTCAAAACCTGATGCCCTGGGTGGTGTTTGCAAGTGTGTGACCAAGGGAAAGCTGTCCCTCACTCTTATCGTCCCTGGGACACTAAACATGCTGGACCTCAGATCCGATGAGAATGACAGTATGAGTTCTCACTAATTTTGTTCAGCTTCCAAGGAATGCGCATTTGAGGAAGTCATCATAAATCTGAACACATTCTGGGATCCAGGTTATGTTACCAAGGCAGGCTGGGTTTGCCTAGTGGCAAGACAATGACCTCAGCATCCTACACAGACCTGGGGCATACAGATCCAGGGCACTGAGAAAGAGGAACAGCCAATCCACTGTGGAATCAAGTCCCAAATACCACTGCAGCATGTGTACAGGCTGCCTATAGAAGATATATGAAATCCTAAAGCAAATGGCAGGACATAGAGAAATGCTCACCTTCCTGAGCGAGCCACAGGCTGGTGTACACCCAGGGACACGTCTTCCTGGACTCTCGGACACCTCTGGTCATCAAAGGAAAAGAATGTTGTCTCTTCGTTGCTGATGATGATCCTGCATGGCCACTCCATCTGGGAAGTGTAGAGAAATCACATGCACATTTCAGAAATATATCCAGATTCTCAGGTTATAATATCCATGCCAACCTTTCCCCCAGGCAAGCCTTGAATCTAATCATCATGTTATTCTATCCCTTGGGAGTGACTGCAGGTGTGTGTGATACCATGAGTGTAGGTGGGTCTACAGGTCATGTTCCTGCGCAGAGGACTCAGCTTCTGAACAAGCCTAGCATTCACCCAGATCCCTACCCAATCATGCCCTGCTTCCCAACAATGGAAGATGGGACCTTCAAAAGGGAGGGTGCAACTCTGACCTCAACAGACTTCTACAATAATCTGTAGATTCCTTTCTCAAAGCTGCTCTTTCTGAAAAAGCACACATTGCCTTTGTGTACCCCTCTCCCTGACAGTGGACGTTATGTCCTCTTGGACATGTGTCTGTGCAAGCTCTAATAAAGTAAACAGCACTTGTTAGAAACCAGCAACCACTTTAACAACAAATCCACCCACATATCTGTGGCACCAATGGCACTCATGCTACAGGCTGAAGTAGACTGTTTTAATTGTAAGTGACCCAGAGAGTTCAGGCCAGGCTAATAATATTTGAGCTAACACTAACTATCCTCACAGGCCAGCAGGAAACCAGGAAAAATTGCTCCTTTTCAGCCACCATGACCCAGGGTATAACCCAACTGAAACTAGGGCACATTCCCCTCCGGGGACCAGGCATTTCCTCACCCAGGAAGATTCAAGGCCCTGACCTCTGTGCAAAAGTTCCAACACTCAGCTGCCTTGACCAAAGGAGCATCCTCATCCTGCAGGTGAAGATTCTAAAAAAGTATCCTCCATCACTGCACCCAATAAGGAGCAGTGTGTGTCAGGGGCACAGCCATGAAAGATTTACATTTTGCATGAGTCAGCTACCTGGGTTCAACAAGTGATCCCACCTTTGGCAGGTAATATGAAACACAACCTCAACAAAGCTCAAATGCTCCATTCACAGACAAGGAAAGGAAATGAAATAAAATATATCTTCTACATAAATGGATGTAGGTCTTTTCAACGAGAGTCATCAGTCCCTGGCAGTGCATATGACACCCTAGCACTCACAGTCTCTCCTATGTCCACACACTTCCACAGAACAACCGAAGCCATCTGAAGAAAATGTAAGACACCCAAGCAAGGAAAATTGGACCACCCTGTAGAAGTACTTTGACCTTAGCACTTCTCTGCCTTAATTGGGCAAAGGGTAAAAGAGAATGTTTGGCTGAGCTTTGGGAACCAGGGTTGGCCTGCTGCCTGACATGAGTCATTGGGCATCCTTCAGGTGCTAAAATTAGAACGACTGAGTGACAAACTATGAAAGTGAGGTACCAAGTGAAAGACATTCACCTCCACATCACCATATTCTAGGGCCCTGAAGCCTTCCCTGATACATGTCAACAGGCACTCCATCAGGGCCAAGAGAAATCCTGGGAAGCTGGTGACATTTGGAACAAACGGAGACAAAACATATCATAAAAGCCTGTCATTGACGTTCCCTTTCTTTTCAAGTCATCAGAGTACCATAATGGATTGAAAGTACTTAAGATAGAGGAGCTGCCAACTGCAGCACGATGGCATAACTGTCCATCTGTCCCTGCAAGACTTCCACGCTGTGCTCAAATAATCTGACCCAGCTAAAAGGCAAGAACAGGTTAACAACCTACCAGGCTGGGGCTCAAACTGAAATCATAGAGCTTCTGCTCTTAGCTCCACACAAAGGACACCAAGGCAACCACTGAAGCAAGAGCCTCAACAAGACACATCCATCCCATGATCTCAGTGGGCCCGTGCCACAGCCACACTGTACCATTGTTAGCATTAGAATATGTGGTCGTTTACAAGAGAAGATGACTGGCAATTCACCCAAACACCATCCATCATTAACACCCAATTAATGCAATGAAAACAGTGAGAGTCATTCAGGGGGCTCTCTGATGCTGATGTCCTGGGTGGTGCTTGCGTGTGACCAAGGGGAAGCTGTCCCTCACTCCACCTTCCACTGGGGGACTAAATGTGCTGGACCTCAGATCCGATGAGAACAGCGGCGGTTGGAGTTCTCACTCATTTTGTTCAGCTTTTCCAAGGAATGCTTTTTTTGAGGGAGTCATCATTGATCCGAGCACATTGTGGAAGCAGGACATGTTAGCAAGGCTGGCTGGACAGCTCACCTAGTGAGCCAATGGCTTTCAGTGCCCTCTAGTGCCCTGGAGCATCCAGATCCATGCTACTGACTAATACAAATAGTCAATGTACTCTTAAAGCAAAATACCAAATACCACTGGGGACATGTGAACAGGCTGGCCTAGGTAGGTCTATGAAATCCTAACGCTAATGGCAGAATATAGGTCAGAGAAATGCCTACCTTCCTGAGCAATCCACAGGCATGGTGCGCACCAAGGGACACGCTTTTTCCAGGATTCCAGTGTACTGCCCACCATCAAAGGAAAGGTAGGTTGTCTCTTCATAGCCGATGGTGAGCCCTGCATGGCCACGCCACCTGGGAAGTGTAGAGAAATCACACGCACATCTGAGAAACATACCCACACAGTCAGGTAACAAGATCCATGTCCACCTTTCCTCCAGGTAAGCCTTGCACCTGTCTAACCCTTAGACGTGACTGCAGGCATGTATGATACCATGAGGACAGGCAGGTATACAGATAACACCCTGGGTGGTGCTTGTATGAGTGTGACCAAGGGGAAGCTGTCCTTCATTCTACCTCCTGGGGCATTAAACGTGCCGGACCTCAGTTTCCGATGAGAACGACGGTTGGAGTTCTCACTCATTTTGTTCAGCTTTTCCAAGGAATGCTTATTGGAGGGAGTCATCATTGATCCAAGCACATTATTTGAAAAACAAATTTTTTGGCAAGGTAGGTTGGGTGGCTCACTTAGTGAGATAATGACCTCAGTGCCCTCTAGTGGCCTAGAGCATCCATATCCAAGCCACTGAGCAAAAGGTACTATCAATCCACTCAAGCAAAACCCATTATATTAGAACAGGTGACCAGTTTGCCTCTATCAGGTCTATGAATCCCTAAATCACATGTCACAATTTGGGGCAGAGGAAATCTTACCTTCCTGAGAAATAGACAAGCATGGTGCACACCCAGGACACACTTCCTCCAGGATCCAGCACACCTCTGGTCGTTAAAGGAGAGAAACAGTTTCTTCATCGTTGATTGCGAGCCTTACGTGGCCACTCCATCTGGGAAGTGTAGAGAAATCACATGCACTTGTAAGGAACATACCCATAAAGTCAGGTAACAAGATCCATGTCAACCCTCCCCCCATGGTAAGCCTTGCACCTGTCTATCATCCACCTCCCTTAGGCGTTACTGCATCCCTTAGGCATGACTGCAGGCGTGTGTGACACCATGAGGGTAGGTATGCAGCTATGTGTGAACATGGACGCATGCAGAGGACTCAACACCTGAACAAGAGCACAGTTCACGCCCAGATACCTAGCTTCATGCCCTCTTCCCAATAAAGGAAAACTGGCCTTCAAAAGGAAGGATCTAACTCTGACCTCAAGAGACATCTACAATAGTCTATAGACTCCTTTGCAGGTATATGTACATGCTCTGCCTGACTGTGACTGTGATGTCAACTTGGACAGTGTTTCCATGCAGCTTTCATGGGTGAACTGCACTAGATGGAAACACAGCAACCACCAAAAAAATAAACCACCGACATAAAGGCTGGCATGACTGACAGTGATGCAGGGCCAGAGTTGGCTATCTTAATCTTAAGTGACCAAGTCACTTTTGGCCAGGTGCCTTTTGCTGCTAATTCTCAAATTCCCTCAGCAGAATAAAAGGAAGTCTGAGGGGTATCTGTGGTCTTCACTCACCATGACTCTCAGGCGTAGGAGGGAGTTGTTCTCAATCTGGATTCAGTCCGTGATGCAGGCACAGTCAGGAGGGTAGGCTCAGCAGGTCTCCATGCTCTTCAGAAGCCTGAGGATCCAGACCCAACCACTGAGCAGGTGTAACTGTCCATCCACTGTGAGAGTGAACACTCGCGTGCCATTAGAGACACACCTTGAGTTCTCTATAGTGGGTCTATGAAGTCTTCAAGCAAATGGCAGAACTTGGGGCAGATGAATGCTTACTTCAGGATCAATTCAAGAGCATGGTGCAAACCCAGGCCCATAGTTTTTCCAGGAGTCCCACACATCTGTGGTCATCAAAGAAGAGGAAGGTCTTCTTCTCTTGGCCAATGGAGAGCCTTGCATAGCATGTTCATCAGACCAGTTTAGAAAAAGCATGTATGCTTGAGAAACTTACTTCAGGGTAGGCCGTGCAAGGATCAGTCAAAAGTAATACCATAAGTGTGCCCATTGCTGTTTCACATAGTTCATGTCCCATGGCCAGCCCTGGCGGGAATAGGGCATATGCCAATTCAGCAATCTTGGAGTTCCTCCCCCTGTGGGCTTCGTTCCGTACAGTGATTTCTAAGGAAATTCAAGCATAATTTGTCAAAATAACATCTTCTTGACTGGAACACAAAACCTTTACTAAGTAGACTCAAATATTATGTGCACATAATATTTTGAGGTATCTTTAAGGAGTACAGCCCTAACCATTTTAATTTTTATCAATCACAACATGTGTGATTCAACACATGATCCATTCCTTGTCATGTCTACATTACAAAGGATAAACTAACATAGTTCATCTTGAAAACAGTAAGAATAGAAACAATAAATATCCACTGCTCAAAGAATTAACAAAAATATACATAAGTTTACTTTATCAATATTTATATGTATTATGTGTCTTATGCACACCGTTTATGTAGGCAAAATACAAGTCGCAGATTCAAATTATCTCTCTGAAAAAACTTTTTTCATAACATATAATGAACTCTTTCAACTCAAGGGGACAAATAACCCAATTAAAAACTTGAAATTATTTTAACAGACATTTTCCCAATGAAGACATACAAGTGACAAACACATTAAAATATGCTGAACATCATTAGTGACTGGGAAATAAGAAATGAAAAGTGACATTGGTGATGTGGCAGTGTAAGAACAAATCCAAAAATATGTTCCTCCATAAAACATAAATAACAAAAAACAAAACAAAACAACAACAGGGAAAAGCTTGAAGAATCAACTTTGGAAATACGGAAACTGACCAAGAAGTGGCTGCAACCAAAGCATAGGTTAATCAAGAAAAAAATAGTTATATAACTTTCCCTTTCATATTTTTAAATAACTGCATCAAAATAATTGTAAGTCTAGGGTCATGAGTATATATGTATAAAAGAATAATTTGTGACAATCACAACAAAAAGAGAAAATGGAACAATACAGAAAAAAGATTTTATATATTATTTAAATTAAATTGGTATTAATTGAACTAATTGTTATAAATTAAGATGTTAATTGGTACAGCTAGAGAAGGCAACCACTAAAAAAATAACTCAGAAAATATATTTAAAAAACAAGGAGGAGCCCTGACCAGTGTGGCTCAGTTGGTTGGGTGTGGTCCTGTGCACCAAAAGGTTCCCAGTTCAATTCCCGGTCAGGGCGTATGTCCGGGTTGCAGGCTTGATCCCAGGTAGGGGGCGTGGAGGAGGCAGCCAATTGATGTTTGTCTCTCACATCAATGTTTCCTCTCTCCCTCCCCCCTTCCTCTCTCTCTAAAAACCAATAAACTATTCTTTCTAAAAAAGAATGACCTTAAAAAAACTTAGCAAGGAAATAAAACAATTAAAATAGTACACTCAATTATACCTCTTTAACACATACACACACCCACACATACATAAAATAAAGGAAGAGGTAAAGGCCAAACAACATATAAAACACACAGAGAAAATGTACAGCAAAATTGCAGAAGTCCTTCTTTATCAATAATTATAATAAATGTAAATGGCTTAAAATTTATAAGTAAAAGGTAGAGATTGGCAAAGTGGATTTTAAAAAGATGATCCAACTAAGTGTAATCTACAAGAGACACATTTCAGATTCAAAGACACAAACTGATTAAAATTAAAAGCACTGAAAAATATACTGCATACACATAGTAACAAAAAGCGACCTGGAGTGACTATACATATACCAGACAAAGTAGTCTCCAAAAAAAATTTGCTATGAGTCAATTATAAATTTTATAAAAGGTCAACCCATTAAAAAGACATAACCATTGTAAATAACACACACCAACAACAGAGTCCCAAAGCATTTGAAGCAAAATTGTACAGAACTGAAGGAAGAAATCGACAATTCTACAATAGTATTTGGATACTACAATTGTCTACTTTCATTAATGAACAGAACAATTAGAAAGATGATCATTAAGGAAACAGAGGACTTGAACACCACTATAAATCAACTATACCTAAGAGTCAGATGCAAAACATTTTACCTAAAAGCCAAATACACATTTTTCTTGAATGCACATGGGGCATTTTTAAAAATTGACCAGACATAGAAATCAAAATAAGTCTAAATAAATTTTAAAACACTGAAATCATACAAAGTAGGTCCACTGACTACAACAGAATTAAATTAGAAATCAGTAACAGTGGGAAATTTAGAAAATTCACACATGTGTAAATTAAGAAACACTCCTCATAAAAATAAATCAATTAACAAATCTCAAGGCCAATTACTAAATTTTTTATATGAATGAAAATGAAAATCCAACATTCCAAAACTAATGGAATGCCAAAAGCAGTCACCCAGTGAAATTTTATACCTGCTAACACCTACATCAAAAATAATTACCTCATTTAAGATTTACACTGAAGTAACTCATTTTTGTGCTAATATAAATAGTATTTATTTTAAATTTCAATTGCTCATAGCTAGTACACAGTAAAATGACTGAATTTTGTATATTGACCTTGTATCTTCCAAACTTTCAGAACAAAGTTGATAGTTCTAGGACTGTTATTGTAAATTTTTGGAAACTTTGTAACAGTCAATCATAGTTAAACACTGCAAAAAAAGTGTTGTTGCTTCCTCTCTGATCTTTATGCCTTTTTTTTTTTTTTTCTTGCATGAGTTATACTTTGCAAACAATATAAATAAAAGTTATGACACAGGACATCGTTTTGTTTGCAATCTTAGAGGAAAAGCACTCTTTTTAAAGTATACTGGGTTGTACATTTCTAATATTTGTAATTTAACAATGTAAATATTCTATGTCAGTATACCTCTATAGATTAAGACATCAGCCACACACCACAAATCTATTTATATTCTAACATAAGCAAATACACAATTAGGTATTTGTACCATTATATTTATTATGTCAAAATCTATTCTAATGGTCCTGTCATTCATATTCATTGTCAAGCATTTTTTAAAATGGAATTTACTGGGTTGACTTTGGTTAATAAGATGTCAAACCTATTATAATCTTATAATAGGTTTCAAGTATATATTTCCATGACTTAAAAAAATTAAATTATGTATTATTATTTGTTTAAATGGTGTTATCTGCCTACATGCCTCTTTAATGGTTTTTTATTTAATTTTTTAAAATTGATTTCAGAGAGAGGAAGGGAGAGGGAGACAGAAACATCAATGATGAGAGAGTCATTGATTGGCTGCCTCCTGTACGCCCCCTGCTGGGGATCGAGCCCACAGCCCCAGGCATGTGCCCTGACCGGGAATGAAACCCCCATCTCCTGGATCCTAGGTTGAGGCTCAACCACTGAGCCACACCAGCCAAGGTAATTATGCATTTTTAAATGATTGATATTCAAGAGTCCATTTCAAAATGTGATAGGGTTCCTTTCCTCCCTGATGTTACAATTATTAGTGTTCATGGCTATTTTACTAATATTTCAATGACCTTGCCAGGTTCTGGAGTGATGAATGTACAGATTAAAGTAAGTAAATAACTTTCATGGAAACAATTACTACTTGAAGGAAATCTGTGACAAATATGTCAAGATTAAAATTGAATTTTTCTATTCCTAAAATATTAAACACCATCCCTCAGGTGACAAAACCTTCTGCATAATAGTGCCAAATAATAGACAGACTTTTCTTCTTATTGATGGATGTTTCAATTTTAACAACAAATAGTGATTAATGACTAAATATATGAAATTTCATTATCTCTCCACTTGATTAATACCAAGCTAATAACCTTTGTGAAGCCAGCACAGTATGGAATATTGAACTTTTTCTGTTTTTCAAAGTAAAAAAAAGTGCTTTGTGGTTATCATTTAAAATCTTCATGACCTTAGAAAGATCTCATAAAATTTAACATATAATTTTCCACATTATAAGAACCAATGTCACCCCAATAAATTCAATTAAAAAATAAAATAAAAATTTAAAAACTAATTAAAATCAAATCTTAATGAGAAGAGTGGCAATGATCCATAATGAAGTTATGGTTCTGACCAAGATGATATGAATATAATGCTCTTAATCATGGATCAACATTCTGAAAACATAGTAATTTGTTAAGAAAAATCTACTTCATGGCTTATTTGCACAAAAGGATGTTTCGTTGCAGTACGGAATTATTAAAAAAAAAAAAAAAAAATCAACGATTTTCCAAAATCCCACATTTGTCAGTCTACTCGAAACTCATATAAAATACAACCTAAAATTCAGAAATGAGAGTGAAGACACCCCAAAAATGGCACATTAAGATAACGGCACTGAAAAGATGGAACACAGACCTGAGGATGTGGCCTTGAACACGTGACAGGCATTTCAAAGGACCCTGGAATAGCTATGCACCTCCATTCTCTGAAGTAAAGGACCTCACTCAGCCCAACTGCCTAAAAAAAATAACAACAGAGAAAAAAGCAAAAATATAATCTCCAAAAACACTCAACACTAAAAACAACAAAGCACTAAAACGTACTCAACTGTCACCGTAGCACAGGCATGCTGGGGTCCCTTCCTTTCCCCCAACATGAACGAGCCTTCCAGGATCCGTCCCCGCGGCGTCTTCCCTTCTGAATTCAATCTTCACTGTTTCCCCCATTCGCAATTACAGAACCTACTTCCCACATACAAGTAAGTGTCTATCTACAACTCTGTTCAAAGTGCGCAATACAAAGCGAGTCTTGGATCACTGCTCATGTCTGAGGGTGCCTGCTGTCTCGTTAGATGGGACGCCATGCCCTGCTCTGCGAGAAGGAACAGGCGTGCTCAGAGCTCTACACACTGTCGCGGAGGGGCCACCACGTAGAGCCAGGCTCTGAGAGTCTTATTTGTCCTATTAGAGGGCCATTCATCTGGACCTCAGATTGACATCTGGAATGAGTCCCTCAGCATCCTCAGACAATTGTGCTCATCATTGATCCAGACAAGACCCCTCCCAACAAATAAGCACTTCCAGCACCAGGCCTCCTGTCTTCAGGTTTCTCTATTACACGGTGAATAAAGAACCGTACAGCCGCGGCCAGGCGGTCAGCTGGCTGGAGCATCACCCTGATAAGCCAAGGACGCAGGTTCGATTCCCAAGTTAGGGCACATTATAAGAATAAACCCATGAATGCATAAGTAAGTGGAACAACTAATTGATGTTTCTCTCTCTCTCCTTTCCTCTCTCTGAAATAAAAATATAAAATTAAATAAAATGAAAACAATACATGTGCAATAGACATTCTTAAAGTAGACTTCAAAATGAAATTTGTATTTAATAAAGGAAAGGGCCAATAATGAAGATCCCTTTAGCAAAGTAGGTGCATGTTGGGGGGGAAAAATCCACCATAAAATATTCTCCACTGGGCCTCTGAAAAATGAGCCCAAAGAATTTCAAGTACTGACATCACTGATCACAACACACACACACACACACACACAAGGAATTTCAAAAGCACCAGAGTAGCTACTCACCTCTATCCTGAAGTAGAGTAACTTGTTCCAGCCTTTGACCTGGAGCAAAACATTGAAGAATATAAATCAGATCAGAAAATATCTGAAACTCATGTGAAAATAAAGTACAACAGCTGGTTCTGTCATAATAATTATTTTCAGGCAGTCACCCCCACACGTCAAGTCTTTGGCACACAAATCACAGTTGCTTGGCTCTTTATTACCTTCGGCCCTTTGTTTCGTCACTTATTTCCCCTCTGAATCCTTCACTCTACAAGAGCCAATAATCTATGCAAATTAGTGACACAATTTTACCTTTGAATGAGATACTCTAAAGTTATATTCCCTCAAGCCCGGACAGCAATGGCTCAGGGGTTGAGTATCGACCTACGATCCAGGAGATCGCAGTTCAATTCCCCCATCAGGGCGCATGCCTGGGTTCTGGGCTGGATCCCCAGCAGGGGGCGTGCAGGAGGCAGCTGATCAATGACTTATCATTGATGTTTCTCTCTCTCTCCCTCTCCCTTCCTTTCTCTGAAATCAATAAAGTTAAAAAAAAAAAGTAGTGTATTTTCCCCACATAGTTAAGCTTTACTTTAAAAAAAAAAAGTTATATTCCATCAAATAGACTTTATGAGAAGGTTCTGTGACAGGGAAATAGGAGGAC